AAAAGTTTACATGTATATACGCAAATATCATCTTAATGCTCAAAAACCATTCTATAGGATTAATGACAGCTGTACATCACCAATACTTTCAGTTTACCGGTCATACTCTTTCCAATAACGGATAGCTTGTTGACCATGCAGATATTTTGAAATGTGCATAAACAGTTTAGTTTTGTTAATAGATGGAACCTTCTTCATTAGTTCTTTCTTTTTTTTGTCAAAAACAATATCAATATTAATAGACAATACCATACTGATATATGATACCATATTAATAGCTTGTTGACCATGCAGATATTTTGAAATGTGCATAAACCGTTTAGTCTTGTTAATAGATGGAACCTTCTTCATTAGTTCTTTCTTTTTTTTGTCAAAAAGAATATCAATATTAATAGACAATACCATACTGATATATGATACCATATTTTCAGCTACTAACTATAGAATCTAGTCTTAGAACCGCGATGAGGAGATTATTTGGACCGAACAAAATTCAGAGTGACTTTGAACTTAAGTTTGATACAGATCCTAGGAGAGGTATCAAATGAAGCAAAAACCAGTCGCTCACAGCTTGACTGGACTGCATGTAAAGTGAAGAGAGTGGTCAGGACAAAATGAAATTTTACGAGAAACTATTTTTTATTATAGAAGAGTTGCAATTTCCTTAAAATGATCAATTCTTAAAGGAATTCAAGAAATGAGATTGATGAGAAGTAGTCACTTAAATGCTTCTCCCAGTTTAATTCTCTACAAACCTCTCCAGTTCCAATCTGACAAAACTTAGGGCTAGACAGATATTTTCATGCAAAATTTCTTTCCATGAAAATTTATGTCCTTATGAGGCTCTTCCGTCCTAGCACAATTTCTGTCCTTATAAGGTCGCTTTTATTCTCCCGTTAAAATTTATGTCCGTATAAGGCTCTTCCATCCTCCTTTCCTTCTTTTGGAGGAAATCTTTTATTCTTATATTTTAAGCTACTCAGAATAGAATCTACTTTTAGAACCCAATAAGAAGGAAAGTTGGACAAAACAAAATTCAGTTTGATTGTAAACTAAGTTCCATAGAGGGGATAAAAAATCCTAAGAGATACCAAATGAAGCAAAAACTGGTCTCTCAAAGCTTGATTGGACTGCAAAGAAAGCGAAGAAGGCAATCAACACAAAAAGAAATGTTATGAGAAACAATTTTTACAGACATCCATTACAAATGTTAGCAATCAAGGGGGAAACTCTTCAAAGAATTCATGAAGGAAGTCACTTAAATGAATCTCCAAGTTCACTTCTCAACAAACTTCTCTATTGCCAAACTGGTAAAACATAGGGCTGGATAGAGATTTTTATGCATAATTTATGTCCTTATAAGGTCTCTTTTATTCTCACGTCAAAATTTATGTCCTTATAAGGCTCTTCATCCTCTTTTTTTTCGGTGGGGAAACTCTTCCATTCATGTTTGTCTAATCTAAGAAGAGATGCCCATTCTGGAAGAATCAAAGAAGTGTACAACTAGACTTTCAATGCAACAGTTAACTTCTCTCTTATTTTCTCAATCCAAACATGCTCTTAAAGCCACTTTTTAAATTATAATTCCAATACATATTAAGGTTTTGTACTTAACTCAACGTTCGTGTTGAAAGCTGTGTACACCAATCCACTATCTGAAAGATGTTTCAATGATAAAGCAACAACATGGTCCCAACACATATAAAGACTAAAATGAATTCACAGGAACCAAATGTGAAAAGCTTTCCTCATAACCTAAAGGTTCAAGTATGGGATCCTGCACCAAATATTGCAAGGAACTTTAAACCATTCTATAGCTAAACTAACTGAGAAAAGAAATAGCCATGAACACCAATTACTTTGAGTCAAGAGCAAACTTGAGGACATAAGTGATTATGACACAGGCCTAAGACATCATTTTCAACCATATTATAAATTAATAGTAATATCAGAAGTTCCATGTATCAAACTGCCAAATCTTTGACCAAAAATAGAGTGCACAACTGCCTGAAAAACGAAAACCAACAAAAAAATTGAAAGAGGTATCTAGCAGTAAATCAATCCAAGAAAGAAAGCATCAGCAAGGCTACCAATTAAGAAAAGCTTAATAATGGGAAAGAAATGAGAAGCTCACACGCTGGCATCGTCACGACCAAGAAGTTTCACAGGCGTACCAGATCTTGGTGAAACCAAGCAACTCTCAGATACCTCGTTGAGACCCATAATCCGACCGGGCCACCACGACCCGTTTCGACGCCGTACCCAGACCAACCCTCCTACTGATGCATCAATGCTCTTGGTGCTGGGCTCATCAGGACCTCCCATTACAACGAAACACCGCCCCCGCAAAGTGAAGCCAGATGACTAAACAAAATAAAAACAAAGATACCCCGGTTAGTGCACCGTCGCTGATCTTAACAATCAACCTCAACCCTCCATTTTTATGGGTCACGGGCCTTCCAAATCACAAGAATGTTCTCCTTCCATGCGCAAACGGAACACACCCTTGAGGCCTGTAATCCAACTGAAAAAAAAATATTAAAAACGGGTTCAAAAACAGTTCAAAAGAACCCCCAAATCTCGCATGCAACTGAAAACTCACGAAAAAGATTTGAAATATACATACACACATAAGATGGCTAGCATATAAAGCTACGCGTACAGATAAAACTACGGAGGGAGACCAAGACTGAAGAGTTCCTGCCAAGAAAAGAGATCTGGAGACGATAGAATAAGCAAAAAACGAAGAGACGAGGACGGTAACGCAGGGAGATCTAGGTTTTAATTCTGTTTTCCCTCTCTTTCAATTTTCTAGGTGTTCCCCCTCGCCGGTTTGTTTTTTTTTTTTTTTTTTTTTAAGCGTTACGTGACTTCACTGTTTCTTCCCTTTTCCTTTAACATACGAATTTTGTGGAACCATCCATGTTTAGATTTTCTGCAGACTGTACGGAAGACGCAGACAGATAAAGTGAAGACGGTGAAGAACAAACGAAATGAGCCTCTGTTCAGATCAAACGTACCTTTTCGTATCTTTCTCCTTTTCTTTGCGCTTCCACACTCTGAGAGAGAGAGAGAGAGAAAGAGAGAGACAGACAGGATGGGGGTGGGGGTGGGGGTGGGGGAGGGAGAAGAAGAAAATGAGGGCTGGGTTTGTGTTCGGTGCACATATCTACGATCAGTTAAGTTATCATGCCACGTCAGCCTTTTTTCAAAAAAAAAAAATCATTTAAATGTAGTTTTAAAAGAAGCAAAGTCAGAAAAAATTTTATAAAATTTATTACCAATCCATATTTTTTAAAATTAAACCAAATTTGTATTTTAAATTTATTTTACACCTTTTCTCCCATTATTATATTAAATTAATATTATACTATTTTAATTTAGACGAATTTATGAATAAATATTTAATTCTATAAATTACTATATTTATTAATTTATAATTTTTTTCTCCTCTATCCATTTCTTTTTTTTTCTCTTTTTCGTGTTCTAAATTTTAATTTTTTAAAAATATCTCCTAATTTTATTCTCACGAGCATTTCACTAAAAAAAAAAGTAGCGAAATCTTAAGAATTTTTTATTTTAAAAAAAATATATATAATCAATCAATTTAAAAATTTAGATCTTTTTTCTCGAATAAAATCAATAAACAGATAAATAAGTAATTTCGTAAGAGAACACGATCTAATTAAGATATAAAAATTAAATGAAAAATATTTTAAAAGAACAAATTAAAAAGTTATTGTTAATAAAAGTATTTGGTAGATAATATTTATCTTTGGCATAATAAATGAGATAAATAGCTTATGAAAATTTGTGCTTTAAAAATATTTGAATATTTAATTTTTTAAACTTTACAAAGTTACCAAATATTTGGTAAAACTATCTAACTTTAGATTAAAAGTTTGTGATAAATAATTAATATATATAATTTATTTATTTTTTAATTGGCGTGTGTTTTATACCAAATAAACAAACCTAAAAAATTTAATTTCTCATTTTAAACTTTATTATTTAAGATATTCTATTAGTATTTCAGTAACAATGTTAATTATGACAGCTACAAAATTTATATATATATATATATAAAGAAAGTTATTAAATGAGAAATAATGGTAAATTTTATTTTATTACTATATTTTTAATTTCTGATATGTATTCTCTTTATGAATTTTTTGTTTACATATCAAGATACAAATCAAATATGGGAGTATAATATCTATACCTTAATACAGTGCCATTCTTATGGCTATGTAAACAATACTGCCTAAATAAATGGATATCAAAAGAGCAAGTGGTTGTATGTTTCTACCAAAATATGACTAGCACAAAAATCTTGTTATACTATTATAGTTCCAATAATGTTTTAAGTACAAATTTTTTTGATATGCCCCTAATAATTGGAACTTGATTATGCTGGCTAAATGTGCTCCTGAAGCTTTGTATTTAGCCATTACAAATTAAAAATTTTGTGATTTTGTGGGAATTTCCACACTGATCTATGTTAATCTTCTACCTATTTTTTGTTTTAAATACGCAATTTATACTACATCGTCTATAAAAATTAGACCACATGAGTTGTATATTTCGTTTTTATTCACTAACTTATAATCAGTTGGCTAACTGAAACTAAGCTTCGATATGTACGGGTCGGCGACATAAACCATGGAATATAAGGTATACATAGGGTCAACCAAATACTCATGGTTTTTGTATTTGTTGTTCTCTTGTGACGTCATATTGATAAACATGGTGGCACATGCACCAAGCTTTTATAATTGATGGAGGCTTTTTTCAAGATATCTACTTAGGATTTATTTTTGGTGTTTATATATTATGTTATCCATTCATATACCAATTTGTCTTATTCTTTGATATAATATATCTCATGTCCTACTGTTTTATTTTTAGACTCATCATCGCTTTAGACTTTTATGATTATGAATCACTTAGTTCACTTAAAGCATGTTTTTGATGTATTTGTTTCCAAAAGCATTAATAAATATATATTGTCCGGTTTGTATATGGATGTTGTTTGAGGGATTTAAAAATAAGAAAAGCCCAAATATAACTAAATCAGGTTATAAGGTGCCTACAAAGATTGAATATAGATGTATATTTAATATACTGAGTTACTATTTAAGAATTTTAAAAAACAAAAAATCAAATGCTTAACTGAAAATACAATGAAGAAAAAATTGGGATTATGTTAGATATATAAGCATATACTACTTTAGAATCTCCGGACAATATTTAAAGGCCTATTTCATATTTACTTATTTTATAAATGGATACTGTTTAATATTATTTAAATATGAAAATTAATATATTTTGTGTTACTTTATGAAATGAACGAAATAGTAATAAAAGTTTTTTATCTTTATTATTTTAGATTTCATATATAGTGTTGTTTTATCTTCATTACTTCGTATTTATCGTTTTAGTTTCAATTTTTTGAATCATTTTCAAAAGTCTATACCACCAAGTGAGTGTCTTGCGCATTCTCTTCATTGTTTGAACTTAGTTTTGTTAGACTAATACATGTTTTAAGTGTCTACTCCCACATTAAATGAATTAATGAGGACTTTTTTTTTTTTATTTATTGTAAATGCTCATTTTTATAGAGTTCTGCTACCCTATCACCATTATGTCACAGAGATAACTCGTTATAGAAATGGCTGCAGCATATTCATTATTATTTTAGAAATAGTTTTATATGATATATTACGTAATAAAATAAACTAAAATTAAAATATCGTATTAGCTCATTCACAATTGAGAATCAAGATTAAATTTATTTGATTGATTTCTTTGAGTATAAACCTAATGCAACAAAAGTTTAAAATGTTTTAATCACATCATAAATAATAAAATACAAAAAGTCTTTTATAGAATAAAGTTGGTGTACAATTTTATCTTGGTGATTCATGAGAAATTATATGGTGTATAACTTGATAGATTCCTGTACAATGGAAATCACAGTAATAACTCATTATCTTTCAGTGACATATATGACACAAATAA